GACCTGGGTCCGTACGTTGCGTTTACTTCACAGCGGGAACAGAAGTGAATTGCCATTGACCTCAATTGCCAGGCATTGCTGACTAGGGGACGAAGAGATAATTTATCATTATAATTTTCCATAATAACACACTTTTGCTGAGCAACGTTTCCTATAACTTATCATTATCAGGTAGAAATTGGTCTTCCCCGTCTAATTCTATCCTGGAAATGACTGTGCTTATGACCTTTAAGATCGACCTTTCTTCCTATATTTGCTTATTTGGTAAATAACTATTAGGCAGCTCAAATTGGTGCTTTGGATGAACCACTCCCTCAGTTCCGCAATGTCGAATCCCACACTCAGCAATGGCACTGCTCTGACCAACCCCTTAACGGGGCCCACTACCAATAGGATACTGGAATTTATTTCAGGCTACCTTGACACTTCCACGGGTGATGATTCTTGACGTCTTGTATATCAACATTCCCGGTGTATTTGGACATCTACAACTGCAGTAATTGCAAGCAAAAGCAGATCTAATTGCGAATAGCCAAATCTGCTGCACGAACAATACACAAAATTGCCATGGGAGAGTTCGTGGTGGACTGGTGTTCCACGCTGAGGGTAATCGGATGTCTGATTGCACCTCAGAAACAAAATTAAGCAAAAATATCTCCTCTCTTTGTTTGTTGTGCAGACACGCCTACTGTTGCATCCCTCTCTTTGTACTCAATCTGCTTGAGCTGTTTCCAATGGCGTGCGACACGGACTGTCCCGTTTTTCACTTGCTTCACAAGGGTACTTCTGCAAGTAATAATGAATGTTTTTTTGATCATTTTAGACCTTGATTGCTACTGCGCGTTGATAATTTGCGTAGGATGGGTGACTCTCGCAATTCGACGTGTTAGACTTGGTATTTTTATCGCAAGACTTCATAGATTAGATGTCTAAGCCAAATGATCATCATCAAAATGACCAAGGTGTTGATATTATTCATTCAGCTTGGACGTCGGCTTTGACTGAACATTACATGAGCATCTTCAAATCGGCATTTCCTAACAAATTCACAGTAACTGTATGCAACTTACCCCACCTAGCTGCTGCCAATGCTGCAAGATGTGGAATGTGTAAGACTGAAAGTCTAAAAGCAAAGACTGCAATAACAAGTGGCAGGCCAAAATTAAACGTGGTAGATTCTCCTCGATAAAAACATAAACCGTTTAACGCTGAATTTAGAAGGAAACATTCCTACTTTACAAAATGATCATAGTCTCTTCACAAATTATCAACAATACATCATGGACACTTTATTTTAAAAAATCACTTCGTGGATAAATTTTAGCTGCAGAAACCAAAAAATGATACCATTACATCCGATCGTGTGATTTCACGCATTCGATGGACGCGTTTGCCACTGAACTTTCCCACATCATTCTCGTTACTGTGGCCAATGCACTGAGGGGCACGATGTGTCTATGCAATGACCGGAAGTACCGGTGAATCTGACCCCCTGTGTATAAATTACCGTGTCGTCACATGGTCATTTGATAGAATAATTTAGGTGACTATGGTAAGCTGAGTGCAAATTCCGGTTGCCTTCAAGCGTCGCAGAGCGTAGGTTTTGCTGTGTGGACATGAGTCCACTTGAGTAGTCTGTCTTGGTACTTTGTCTTTACCTTTCAGACTATAAATGGGCGCACCAGCTACACCGTTGCCTTCCTTTTAGCCCCACGCCACTCAATGGGAACACTAGACAGGACAGAGATTCTGACTTGTAAGCAACATGTTCGCGTTGTCCTTACAGATGCGGAATGTTTCCTGTGATGTTCAAGCATTCCATGTCTTGATCCGATTCCACTCAAATTCAAGCTCACATATTTCACTTTAATGTCCACCGAAATGCTTGTCTTCATTCATTTATGCTCGCATATATGCGTATAAATAAAAATGTATGCTTGCATATATATATACCTGCATTTTATTCACCCGTACGTTCATAATTGCATACATTCAAAGACACATACACACAAATGCACTTCCATGCATCCATTTATGCATACTAGCGTGTGTGCGTGCCCACATGCTTGCATGCAATCTTTCATACATGCATACATATATGCATACTTACATACATAACTTTACTTACATACACTCTTGCATGCATGCAGTAATTCATTAATACATGTAGACATTTTAATTTACCCGCCTATATTTATAAAAACATGCAAATACATGTACTATCAAGCATCTGAATAGAGTTCAAGTTTAACAATTTATGCAAATATATTTTGTCATTTTCACCTATGTATGATGCTTCAACACATTCATACGCCCATTCCTACATTTATACACATATACATACAACCTATGTTTCAACGTACGCATTCCTACTTTCACGCATTCATTTCCACAATCACAAATTCATACATACACACGTACATACCTTTATCCACTCATGCATGCGTGCACATGTATCTGACCGATTTCTCAAGTACTCCTTACATCCGTGCAACTATATGTGAATACATGCATACGTGTTTATTTTTCCTTTTTTTTCAAACCTGCAATACGTCTACATACACATACATTCATTCATTCCGTCATACATGTCACGGGTGTTACCCAAAGATCTACCTTTTACGACTTCAGGTCAGACGTGGGAAGACGCGTCGTTATTTGGAAGAGCTAATCGCCCCATGGTAAGTGTTTCATCCCTAATTACTGGCGCAAATCACTTAAGTACTAAAAAGTTTGCACAGAGCCAAGCAAAGTTAACTAACTCGATTGTTCCTTCCCAGGTTTTTCCTTACTATTTTTACTAAAAACAGTCATTTGAGTTGCAAACATTCAAGTTGATAGGTAAAAGACACCTATATAGATTGAGTTTTGGTATATTGCAAAGTCACATTTGAAAACTTTATCAAAGCATGCTGTTGAGATGTTGCATTTCATTCAGAAGTTGTCATGAGTGGAATAAAGAATCAAAGGATTACTCATTAAAACAGAGTATTTAAGTTAATTCTCATCTAGGCATTTGTAGAATGGTTGTTTATAGCTAGACTATACATTTACCACGATTTGTTTATACAGGAGTCAGTACCCTTAAACTATGTTTAGTTTCGCGATACAGCTAGCCGGAAAGACGTCATTGCAACTTGTAAAGATTTATATACGCTATTCATGTGTAACATATCGCACAAATGCACGGAAGTCTCCACTCATACTCTCATTCCCACTTTCGGGCTCTTCTTTGCTTAAAACCCTAGCCCGAATATGGAAGTTGTGGAATTGAGCTTGCCTGCTTCCAAAGCTATGAAAGGTAAATCAGGAGTAGAATGCACCACCTTGAAGTTGTCGAGGAGGTAATTAAAACGTCCTTGGGTTACAGTGTTATGATAAAGAATTAAGCGTCTCTATTTGCACACTTTGTTATGGAAACCAAACCAAGAACAGTTAAAAGTGAAACTAAAACTGCTTGATGAAGCTACTTGCTTGTGTCTGCATCACTTAAAAAGTCGTAATGGTAGATACGGAAGTGGGTTGTGACCCACATGTATTAACAGAGAGATTTAGGTTTGAAAACTATATTTTTTTTATTTCTTTACATGATTTTGCTAAAACATGTCGAGTCCGCGGTGCGGTAGGGCTTAATATTCAGCCATGGAAGAAGTAATACTAGCTGCATTGAGACCGGATTTGGATGTCGCTGCCACCGAGGTAGCGCCCAGTCTTCTATAAGATTGCAATAAACCGGAGAAGTATGGCAGAAAACATATTATCAAAGCAGTAGGCCTGCAGAAATCTCCCCGACTTTAGGCAAACTTTCGTGTTTAGAGTTCTAACTAAACTGCGAAAGCTCTCAAAAGGTGCGTCAAGGGACTCGTTTCATCGGCGAACCATAAGTGTTGTGTGAAAAATTAGCACCCACCTCACATTCTGATTAAGTGAGGGCGCCTTTGCAAGACAGATTAGCCGCATCGAAAGCACTGGAAAGTAAGGAGGAGAAAAGGGTACCAAACATGGTTTTACAAAGCCACCA